TCCATACTCTTTGTCGACTGTTACCCTCCTCCTCGGTCACTTCACCCATTGGCACCGGAACAAAGGGACTTTAAAATTAGGTGCGTAGTCTAGTTCCCATATCTCTTCTATGCGGCCATAATATGTTTGTATATTCCCATTTGGATCACAGTCTGCCTATGCTAACACCACTATTTTGATTGGTGCTCCTTTTATCTTGGGCAACTGTGTAAAATGTATTCCCATTTATCTCGTACCCTTGGTATGTGAGGATATGCCACGATGGCTGCCTAGCCAACAAATACAGTTGCTCATCAATATTGTCATCGCCTTGACATTCTTTTCGCAACCAATCACTGAAACTTTCCATGTGCTGACGCCTAATCCAAGCTTCAGTCTTCCCTAGAAACTTGGATCGTAAGAACTCCTTATGTATCTCGATGTACAGATGCACCAATGACGAGTTCTGTAGAACTGTGTAGTGTGCTTTATTGAAATGATCGTCTTCCATGCCGATATATGTTTTCTTCTCTAAAGTTCCTTTACCACTGAGTCTCCCCTCATGTCGTGATTTGGGAATGCCAATCGGGGCAAGGTCAGGAATAAAGTCAACACAGAACTCAATGACCTCCTCTGTTCCATAGCCCTAGGCGATGCTTCCTTCAGGCTTAGAATGGACTTTCACATATTTCTTCAAGACTCCCATAAACCTCTCGAAGGGGAACATGTCATGTAAGAACACAGGTCCAAGAATACTAATCTCCTTCACCAAATGAACTAGAAGGTGTGTCATGATATTAAAGAAGGATAGAGGGAACACCAACTCAAAGCTGACAAGACATTGAACCACATCATTCTATAGATTAGCTAGTTCCACTGGATTGATTGCCTTCTGAGAAATTGCATTGAGGAATGCACATAGCTTCACGGTGGCTAGACGTACATGTGGAGGTAGAATTCCTCTTAAAGCAACTGGAAGCAATTGCGTCATAAGCACGTGGCAGTCGTGGGACTTTAAGTTTAGGAATTTCTTATCTGGCACATTTATTATACCCTTTATATTGGAGGAGAATCCCGATGGGACCTTGATGCTGCTTAGACATTCGAACATGCTATCCATCTCTTCTTTGCTAAGCGTGTAGCTAGCAGGACTTAAGTAATGACGTCCATCATCTGTCTTCTCTGGATGAAGGTTGTCTCGTTCTTTCATGCCCTGCAAGTCCTGGTATGCTTCAAGTGAATCCTTTGGCTTCCCGTACACACCCATGAATCCTAACAGGTTCACACAAAGATTCTTTGTCAGGTGCATCACGTCGATTGCGTTGCGGACCTCTAGGACTTGCCAATAGGGTAGCTCCCAAAAGATGGACTTCTTCCACATGGGTGCGTGTCCCTTAGCATCTTTGGGAACAGATTTACTGCCTTGTCCCTTTCCAAATACTACTTTCACATCCTTGACCATTGCGAGTACATCTTCCCCGGTTCGGTTATGAGGCTTCTTCCGGTGGTCTGGCTTACCTTTAAAATGCTTCCCTTTCTTTCTTACTTGGTGATTCAAAGGAAGGAATCGACGATGGCCAAGGTACATGACCTTTCGACATCTTTTCAAATATATACTATCAAGGTCATCAAAACAATGTGTGCATGCATTATATCCTTTGTTTGTCTGACCTGAAAGATTACTTAAAGCAGGCCAATCATTGATTGTTATGAACAACATTGCTCGTAGGTCAAAGTGTTCTTGTTTGTACTCATCCCAGACACGTACACCTGGTTTGTTCCATAAAACTAGAAGTTCTTCAACTAATGGCTTCAGATAGACATCAGTATCGTTGCCAGGTTGCCTCGGACCTTGGATGAGGATCAGCATCATAATAAACTTCCGCTTCATGCATAACCATGGAGGAAGGTTGTAGATACATAGAGTAACTGGCCAAGTGCTATGACTAGTGCTCTGCTCTCCAAAAGGATTCATACCATCTGTACTTAAGGCGAACCTTAAGTTTCTAGCCTCATTTGCAAACTCTGGAAATTCCCTGTCTATCGCTCTCCACTGGGACCCATCAGCTGGGTGTCTCAGCATATTGTCTACCTTACGGTCTTCTTTATACCACCGCAACAACTTTGCATGGTCTTTATTTCTGAACAAATGTTTTAAGCATGGTATTATAGGAGCATACCACATAACCTTGGTAGGGATTTTCTTTCTAGGACGTTGTTCACCCTCGACGTCACCAGGATCATCGCGCCTGATCTTATACCGTGATGCTTTACATACCAGGCATTCATTCAAATTTTCGTATTCATTGCCATGGTAGAGGATGCTGTCATTAGGACATGCATGTATCTTCTGGATTTTTAATCCCAAAGGGCAGACAACCTTTTTTGCTTCGTACGTAGTGGTGGGCAATTCATTTGGCTTCGGAAGCATATTCTTTATGAGGTTCAATAAATTCCCAAATGTCTTGTCGGATACACCATTCTTTGCCTTCAACTGTAGCAATTCCAGTGTTGTACCCAGCTTTTTTTGCCCCTCTTCGGCCGTCGGGTATAGCAACTTCCTATGATCCTCAAGCATGCGCTCGAACTTAACTTTCTCTTTTTCACTTTCCCATTCTTGTTGTGCATCATGAATGGCATCGCCAAGAGCATCACCAAGATCATCTTCTATCGCTACCTCTTCTTTATCTCCCCCCATTGTAGTATCATCAAAGGCACCATACTGAGCAATAATGTCATCAATGTCTAAATCTTCTCCTTCACCTTCTACCATCATGACCCCGCTTTCTCCATGCTTAGTTCAACATATATAGTTTGACATGAAACCTGACTTAAGCAAATGTGAATGAAGACTCATTGAGCTTGAATATTCCTTTAAATTCTTACATAGGGCACATGGACAGCACATGAAACCATTCCGCTTATTTGCCTCGGCCACACCTAAGAAATAGTGCAAGCCCTCAATAAAGTCTTGGGAGCCACTCGGACGACCGTTGGGCAGGGACCTTTAGTTCCGGTTGGTATTACGAACCGCCTTTAGTCCCGGCGGCAAAAAATGCTGAGGCTAATGCCAAATTGGGACATCGTTCTAAAGTCTGTTCTCTAGTAGTGTAGGGGCGGTTCAATCTAGAACCACCCCTACAGTACGTTTTTCGGCCCAAAAAAATTCAAATTTACAATTCAAAATCGCGTTGCCGAACGCCCCGCGACCAACGTTCCGAACCACGTTCGTGTTGCCGAACGCCCCGCGACCAACGTTTCGAACCGCGTTCGCGTTGCCAAACGCCCCGCGACCGCGACTACAAGCACAAGAGTATTATTTAAACTACAATTACAAGTCCAATTCTTAAGAATATATACAATCCATCATTAAATATACAAATTCCATATACATTGTTATCAACGTCCTAGAGCTAGTCTTTCAGTCTCACGAAGGTATTGGTACTGAGGATTACTACCTAAGTCAGACTCTCGGTCATGGTAGGCGCCTTTGACGTATACAATCTGGTCCAATATGAAGTTGCAAAGATCGCCGACGAGCTCTAAGAGTGGTCATCCTTGTATGGGTCTCTTTTCATTCCTTTCTCTTCTCTCCACTATAAAAGAACAAGTTTCGGTTTAGTATTTGATACCATGTACGAAGTTTTTATACTACGGGTGAAGAGGTTCAAACTTACCCTTAAGGGGTGTCTCCTGTAGGCACCGGTGTTACTCATCATAGAACATATATAGTATCCACAATGTATACTCTCAGGCTTCTACTTGGGGGCACTGTGTTTTGCAAATGAAAATGTTAAGTAATGCTTTTGACAGCCATGTAACGGAGTACTGAAGAAGTTACACTTACCGCATATAGTGTTTTTATAGCCAGCTTTTCCTTTCTTACTGGATCATGCCTTCCGTGATGATTAGTGACATAGAACCTAAATGCCCTGCTCAAATTATTTTAGCAAATACAACTTGTTAGAATCCAAAAATAAACGTTACAAGTACGTATACAAACATATAATCTAATGAGGATTGTCGATATGTATACGTCTTGAGAATTGATATGAAGTCTTTGTATATCACTGGGTCCCTATCTATTGATTCAAAGACCCATGCCATGCTCCTCCCGACATCGACGGCTATACAAATTCAGTGGTTGCTGTATGGATTTAATCATAGAACTAGATAAGCTCTTTTGCATCGAATAAAATATATCGAACAAAGGTTTAAGTATAGAGTTGAACTTACTCGAAGTTCTATGGTAGCCATATAGTAGAGTGTTGTTGGAGAGTTTTGAAAGCCAGGGCAATGTATGCCGCAACCTTAAGGGACTCTTCCCTTAGTTTCGCCGTACGGCTGCGCTCTTTCTCTCGAAGAGTCTTTGCAGCAGCTAGCTCTTTGGCGTCCAGTGTCTACTGTTTAGGGTAATTGAAATTTATTTGGGCTATAGCTTGAAGGTCTAAATACCCGGCTTTCACACTTGGCATTTGTTTGACAATGTGCACTTGCATTCTACAAATCACGGCGTGGGTTAGTTACAACAAAATTCAAAGATTACATTCATATCACATCGGGAGGATAAGGACTTACAGGCACCACGTGCGAATTAGATTCATCTCCATTTCTTCCAGGTGAAAGCATGTGTGCATGTCATTGAAGTCAAAGACAATTTTCCCGACTGAGCTTCCAAATGTGCCAGTGGGGAAGCATGCTTGTATGAGATCTATGCTCGTTGGGAGAACACGCAAGTACCAATCATAGAACCTTCTCATTTCAAGTGGTAGGCGTCGGAGATCACAATGATAAGACTGGTAGAAATAAAAGCAAGAGATACATACGGGTACTTTTGTTCACAGTAGATACTGTCTGATAATGTCATGTTCTGTTGTTTTCTGATAAATGCATTTGTCTAATATAGTAGTTTTCTTGGACCTCAACTTGGATAATCAGGTCATGTTCGTGAGCTAATTCAGTTGTGGCCCCGGCCAGGGTTCAACAGCTTTAGATGTTAAGTTGTCTAAGCATCACAAATATCACTTTTGGCTTTTTAAAAGCTCAATATGCACAGATTCTGAAGTGCTATGTGAGGAAGGGCACCTTATGGAATAAGTAAGCCCCAATGGTATCATGTAGAGCAGAGCCCCAGTGTTTAGGCTGTAAGATAGGGCAATTAAAAAAGTTAATTAGAGAATAGAGTAGGAAAAGGTGTATATGAAGTGCAAACTGCAAAAACTTTCTCCTTTGCGAAGCTACACACATGATTAAAGCACTGTGCATACCAAATTGATAGGACTGAAGTTTCCAGCTGAGGATTTGGCAGAAGACTGGACAGCAGCACAAGGACTTCAAACGACCACCACTCCAAGCTGCAGCAAGGAAGAATATCATATTTCTGTGATGAAATGATATAACTAGAATCAGTAAAGCAAGTACAAGTTTTTCACACCAGATCATCATGGCAGACGGCCAAGCAATCTCGGTGAACCTCCACAGGTCCTTAAACGCCTCCCATGAGAAGCCATTCCATGTGTCCTTGCACGCGGCCGACAGCCTCACATACAGTGCCAGTATGACGAGGTTGATGGCGTTGCTGAGCGCGGCGCCCTTGCTGCCCATGCCGGCCTTGTACAGCAGCGCCCAGCAGACGATCAGGTGGCAGAGCGCCGTGGCGCCGGAGCTGGCCGTGACGGGCAGGACGACGCTCTGCGTCTGCAGGAAGCGGACGTGGCACTGCAGCGGCACGTAGGCGGCGAGCGACGGGATGAGCCACCGCGCGTACGCGCTGGCCTCCGCGGCGATCTGCGGGTCCTGGCCGAGGAAGAGCAGGATCCGGCCAGCGTACGCCCAGACGAGCGCGATGGGGACGCAGGCGAGCCCGAGCACTACCATCGCGCGCTGCTTGTAGACGCCGAGGAGGTGGTGCTGCCGCGCGCCAAACACCTGGCCGCAAAGCGTGTCCAGCGCGGTCGCCATGCCGGTCTTCGGTCGTCGCCATGTCGATCAGAACCATGCACTAGTAGATGGGGACAGGATAGAGGAGGAAAAGAAATATATGGGATCGATTGGAGGGCGTACGAGAAGGCTGTAGCCCGTGACATTGGCGAGGGAGGTGGCGAAGGAAGCACCGGCAAGGGGGAGCTCGCCGAGGTGGCCAACGAACATGACGGACGCCATGTTGACGACGTTCTGCAGCACGCAGCTGGCGACGATCGGCCCCGCCAGCCGCATCAGCCGCTTCGCCTCCGCCGACGCCGCCTTGCCCGGCGGCGGCGGCGACGGCGACGGGAGCAACGGCTCATGGACGGCCGCGCCTGGCTTGTGGTCCATCGATTCGACCTCCGACCGACCCGCGCCGCTCGCGCGCGTACGGAGAGGAGCTGTGCGAAGACGCCCCGTCCGGCGGTCCCGATAAAAAGGATGGCGTTTTATGGGGAGGACCGGAGGAGTGTGAGGTCGTGACTCGATGACTTGACACGTCCGGCGCGATAGATTTCGTCGTTGCTTTTGTTTTCGCCTCTTGGGTTTGAATTCGGCGCGACTACCATAGGGGCGGCTTTGGTATGTTGCTGGAGCCACATCAGTTACAATCACTACAGTACTGAGTAATTACGTGTTGGATACAGACTGGTATTCTACGTCATCCCTGTACGTACAGTAGTTCTCTTGGGATCCAGACAGGCATAGATAGTATACTCCCTTCCTCCGAGAATGAAAGCAACTCTCGGATGTTGTGGAGAAACTACAGCATGATGAAAGACGCATGTGCCCCTATCTGTCCTAAGTCAAATCATTGTTTGGAGATTGGGAATCTACAGCACGCATGCATAGCTCTCTCTCTATTCCCACACTCTTGCTGCGCCAGATGAAATGATTACTCCTACCATACTAGTCTCTGATATCTTGGACAGTAGCCTCCGTATCCTAGAATTACATTCTTTCTCGGACATGCGATGGAGCTCAGAATTGTATCCTTAGGTGGACGGAGGGAGTACTAACTAATTGTTAGCTAAATGCTCAAATAACCACTATCTCACTAGTTGGATGAATGCAGCTAATCGGTGGACCCGCCCTTCCCAACATTATCTCTTCATTTCAGCCTAAGCCGCGCAGGCCTGCACGCTTCGTCGATTTCACAGTGGTCTGTGGCTCCAGCGGCGGCGAGAGCACCCTTACCATGTGAGTCGCTTGCGGAGGGAAATCGGTGGGGGCTACGACTGGCGAGGGGACTTGGAGTTGGGGCTGGAGACACGGTGCACGGTGGCGGGGAGCCAGGTCGCGAGGGACTTGGGTAGGCCGCCTTTGGCTATGGCCGTGGCCCGCGACAGGTGGCGGAGAGGCACCTGTTGGGAACCCACCTGCTGGCTCTTGGAAGAAGGGAAAGTGCAGATAAGGGGACATGGAGCACAGTTCCGGACGGAGTCGGTGGTGCTGACGGAGAAGAGGATCTTGGCTAGGATGTCATTTGGCAGCGCGCTGAGGCGATCCATGCCTGTGGTGGAGTCGGTGGGGGTTTCACGTGCTTCGTGGCGGCGGCCTCGCCGGCGCCGCTGGGTCCATGGAGCAGAGCAGGAGTCAGACGACACGCTGCTGTGAGGCTAATAGCCAATGGCAGGGGGGGGGTCGTCGGGGCCGCCACCTGCCCGCAGCATGTCAAAGAGCACCGCGTAGGCAGCAAGTGAGCAGAGGAGCGCGCGTCGGGCAGTCGGCGTCGACCAGCGTTGCAAGTCCTGGGAGGCCACATCGGGGAGGATGAAAGAGAGCACTAGGATGCAGGAGCGCGCTTGCGCCTGCGAGACGGATGCCCCCACCAAGACGAGGTTGGGCCGGAGGCCTTAGCGGACACATCCATGTATTAGCTAATGGCTCCAAACATCCTTAGCTATTATAGTTGGCTAATTAATAATTAGCTAGCTATTATTAGTTATAATCTATTAGCCAGCTAGCTAGTTGTTAGCAACTAATGGATCCAAACAGGGTATAAATCTCCCAATAGCAGAGTACTTTAAACGTTTTGCCAACTGTGCATGGGTTCCACTATGGTATACCAGCCTGAAAAAAGTCCAATTTATTTTTCTCAACTATAGTGACCCTTCGATTTTACTCACTGAACTATAAACCAGTTTTTTACCCTCCCCACTTTTAAAACGGTTTGTTTTTGCACTTTGGGTGATTTTATTAGCAATTTTTCTAAGAAAGTAAAGTAGACTAAGTTAAAAGTTCAGCGAGGTAAATCTGACAAGAAATATTTTTTAAAAAAAATCCAAAAAATTATAAAAATAAGTTGTCGGTACCGCTTAAAAGGTCCTAAATGGCTAGGGGGTGAATAGCCTATAAAAATTCACTACAAAATCACTAGAAGAAATGGTTAGTACACTAAATGGCGAAAAACAATTCTGCTATAGTTCTACAAGGGTTGTAAGCCACCTACACCAACAATTCTAGTTGCTATGATCACTATACACACAATTTGCTAAGTCACTACTTAGCTATACTAGTGAGCTAGCTAAACAACTAGTTTACCAACTAAGCTAAGCTACACTAGCTACTCAACTACTTCTACACAAGATATCTCTAGGAATGTAAATATAAGAGGTAGAAAGGGGTATACCGCATGTGGCAAGAGAGAAGATCAATCAATCAATAATCACCCCAGGAATGTCGGGAGAATACCAAGGAGATAATAAGACACATGATTTTTCTCCCGAGGTTCACGTATTTGCCGGCACACTAGTTCCCGTTGTGTCGACCACAAACGGTACGTGAGCTAATTGGCACCACGCCAAGCCTTTCACTACGGCGCCACAAGAACCTACCTGAAGTTAGGGTAGCTCAATGACATGAACAATTTACTAAAGTACCTTTTGACTCTCCACTGGGAAAAGGTCAAGAACCCCTCACAACCACGATCGGGATGGCCATGAATAATCTCCACCTCATGCCAATCACCACAAACTGCTCCAAGCCATCTAGGTGACGGCAACCACCAAGAGTAGCAAGAAAATCACAGCCACAACTATCCCCAACTGCCACTAGATGTAATCACTCAAGCAAATGCACTTTGGATCACTCCCAATCTCACTATGACTATGAATCAATAGAGTAGATGAGTGGAAGGTGTTCGCTTCAGCTCACAAGGATGTATCACTGATGAAAATGTGCAAGGAACTGAGCTAGAGCTGGCCCCAAGCTATTTGTAGATGTCCCCAACCTCAACTAGTCATTGGGCACTCGTAGACATGATCGGACGCGCTGACCCACTACTACAGATTGATATATCGCTGTCGCCGCTTTCACTGTCGTAGCGATAGAAGCGACAGTGTTATACTTCCACCGCCGGTTGGACCGATAGCGAGGCCTCCTAAGGAAGGAAACCGAGAGTTCAAACTTGTACCACCCATGGGTTAGCAATAGATGCTGTAGTGGTATTTTCTCCATCATATGAAAAGCCGAGCCGACTGGGATAGGCGTTATGGCCACCGGCCCTACACGACCGTTTGGTGTACCGGCGGTAGTAAATTCAGCATGAGTTCTTACCCTATTTCCTAACTACCCACAACACAGTTGCATCACCATTACTCTATGCATCGTCTCCCCTGATGCGTATAACTGCTCCTCTTCGCTTCTCCATCTTTGTTGACGATAGTTAATGTTAATTATAAAATATCAATATACCTTGCATAAATGACTAAAATGGATCATCAACATAGACTTAGGGGTTTAAACTGACAATTTCCATGAGTTTTGGTGAATCTATGTTTTCAACAGGATTTAATTAGAAAGCCGTCAAGGAGGACCTATTCGTTAAAGAAAATCACGTTTATCCACGACGGTACCTACATGGGAAGACTTTAGAAGACTCCAAAAGACAAATCATCAAATCAGGCCACGTGACTTTGACATGTGGGGCTAGCCAGCCCCACCTGTAGGCCTATCGGCCTATGGGCCCCACCTAACAGCCTCTCCTTACTACGTCGGTTCTCCACCGCCTTAGGGTTTGCATCTACGCCGTCCTTTTAAGTTGGTTTGGTCCAAGGCTCGAGAATGCTTGATGGCCCCCTATATATACCTGCCTATACCCCCTTCTTCAGGGCAGGTATTGATCCTGAGAGCCTGAAGGTCAGAAACCCTAATTCATATTTCCACCAGGATCAGAGCTAGCAGTCAAGGGAAGATTAGTCCTCAATAGGATCTAGTCTTGTATTAGAGATAGAGAGATATAGTGTGAGGGAAGAGTTTGGAGGAGTGCCGGCATGTCGGTGCTCTCTCTCTATGGCTTGTACCCAGGCGGAATCAAGTTCTTCTTGAGCTTGCTTCTGAGATTTCTCTGTTAATCAACTTCTAATTCAAGTAAGTATCATTGTTTATATTGTTCTTCAAGTTTGTGACTCTTTTTGAGTACTTTAATCCTTGTAGCTCTTGGGTTAAAGTAGTATTCATAGTGTAAGTGTTGGTATTTATTAATGCACACAGATAAATTTGCAAGCGCACGGATACCGCTGTAGCTTTCACACGGAAGTATTCCAAGTATCGTATCCATAGGGAAACGTGTGAGATTAACTATGGTCTAAATTAACTAGGGGTAGCGCAATGTTAGGATGAATAGGGGCGTAGAGAGGATAACTTAGGTTCTCTAATTCTAACTTCGGTAAGCTATGTCTTCTACTATTCAACTGAGGATGCTTTCCTTCGTAACCGAGTCCTACTTGGCCTACAGACGGGAGGTGGACTACAAAGGATTCAATGAGGCTATAAGAGTCACCCTCGTGAGCTACCACCGATCTGGAATGCAGGGTGCATCCATGATTAACCTAAGTCTAAGCACCACGCTTACACTTACGATTAATACTTTACTCCCCCTAGGAAGAGAATAAATCACTCAAAAGAGTCACAAACCTGATGAACAATATAAACAAAATGCTTACTTGAATTAGAAGTTGATTAACAGAGGAATCTCAAAGGCAAGCTTAGATAGAACTTGGATCCGCCAAGGTACAAGCCGTAGAGAGAACACCGATAGGCTGACATCTCCAACTCTTCCCTCACTCTCCATCTCACTATTATTTACAAGATTAGATCCTATGGAGGACTAATCTTCTCTTGATAGCTGGCTCGATCCTAAAGATATGAATTAGGGTTTCAGGGATGGCTCTCCTAGATGGGGTACAGGGCTATATATATAGGGGTAGGGTCAATTCTAGACCCTCGGATCAAACCGACTTGAATAAACGGCGTAGCTGCGATTTTTAAGGCGGTGGGAAACCAACGTAGCGAGGAGGGGCTGACCCGTGGGTTCCATAGGCCGGCCAGCCGCCCATGTTAGCCTCTCT